CTCATGCCTCCAATCTTTGCTGTCTTGAGGAACTACAGTGGGTGAGGAGTCTTCAGCTTTCCAGAATGTGTCAGATACCTGATGCCCCACTTGAGCACAGTAGTTCGATCCGCTGGCTCCTACATCACTATTGTGTCCTGTAGTGTGGTTGGAGGCCGGTGGACAGAACCACAGAGGCAACAGGGGACAAGGCATCAGATACACCCGGAAGTATCAGCGAACTGTGGCTCCCAATGCTCTTTAAGGGAGTGAAGTATCACTGTTCCACCCAGTAGAGAGGTCAGTATAAAGGATCTTCTTCTACAGGGGACTGCTGCTTAATTTAATATCCTATTTATTACAGATATGCAGCACATGATATACTGTACATTTACACCAGTACCCCCAAGGAGCTTACACACTAAGGTCCCTATCTCACATATGTAGGCCAGTTCAGACTGGAGCCAATTAGCCAACCAGTATGTCTTTGGAGTGTGGGAGAATTACCTAGGGCAGGGGGGGTCTCTAAACTTTCTAAACAAAGGACCAGTTTATTGTCCTTCACACTTTGGGGGGGGGGGCAGACTGTGGCCAGTGGGAATAGAAAAGGTCTTGACTTTTCTACTCCCTGTGGGAAAAAACAATGCCCTATCTTTTGTGTAAGTAGGAGAAGTTGTGCCTCGTCATTGGGAGGAATTGTGCCCCATCATTGGTGTCATTGGGATATGATTGGGAAGAATTGTGCCCCATTTTTTATGTCAGTGGGAGGAATTTTGCCTCATCATTGGTGTCATTGGGAGGAATTGTTCCCCCTCATTGGTGTCAGTGGGGGGAATTATGCCCCATCGTTGGTAGCAGCACACAAAATAGTGCCCCCAAGGGCCAGATAAAAGCAAGCAGGGAGAACATGCAAACTCCATGTAGGTTGTGTAATGGTTGGGATTTGAACTGAGGACCTCAGTTCTGCAAGGCAGAAGTGCCAACCGCTGGGCCAACTGTGCTCTATATCTGTACACTTGGCAACAGGGTTGTTTTATAATCAGATTGTGTGTGGGCGTTATAGTATAGATGACTCTCTACTACATCATTATAACACACAGTACAGATAACTCTCTACTACATTGTTATAACACGGTACAGATGACTCTCTACTACATCGTTATAACACGGTACAGATGACTCTCTACTACATCGTTATAACACGGTACAGATGACTCTCTACTACATCGTTATAACACGGTACAGATGACTCTCTACTACATCGTTATAACACGGTACAGATGACTCTCTACTACATCGTTATAACACGGTACAGATGACTCTCTACTACATCGTTATAACACGGTACAGATGACTCTCTACTACATTGTTATAAACACGGTACAGATGACTCTCTACTACATCGTTATAACACGGTACAGATGACTCTCTACTACATCGTTTATAGCACGGTACAGATGACTCTCTACTACATCGTTATAGCACGGTACAGATGACTCTCTACTACATCATTATAACACAGTATAGATGACTCTCTACTACATCGTTATAGTATAGATGACTCTCTACTACATCGTTATAACACAGTATAGATGACTCTCTACTACATCGTTATATAACATTCTATAGATGACTCTACTACATCGTTATAACACAGTATAGATGACTCTCTACAACATCGTTATAAACATAGTATAGATGACACTCTACAACATCGTTAAAGCACAGTATAGATGACTCTCTACTACATCGTTATAACACAGTATAGATTACTCTCTACTACATCGTTATAATATAGATGACTCTCTACTACATCGTTATAGTATAGATGACTCTCTACTACATCGTTATAGCACAGTATAGATGACTCTCTACTACATCGTTATAAACACAGTATAGATGACTCTCTACTACATCGTTATAATATAGCTGACTCTCTACTACATCGTTATAGTATAGATGACTCTCTACTACATCGTTATAACACAGTACAGATGACTCTCTACTACATCGTTATAAACATAGTATAGATGACTCTCTACTACATCGTTATAATATAGATGATGACTCTCTACTACATTGTTATAGTATAGATGACTCTCTACTACATCGTTATAGCACAGTATAGATGACTCTCTACTACATCGTTATAACACAGTATAGATGACTCTCTACTACATCGTTATAATATAGCTGACTCTCTACTACATCTTTATAGTATAGATGACTCTCTACTACATCGTTATAACACAGTACAGATGACTCTCTACTACATCGTTATAACATAGTATAGATGACTCTCTACTACATCGTTATAATATAGATGACTCTCTACTACATTGTTATAGTATAGATGACTCTCTACTACATTGTTATAGCACAGTATAGATGATTCTCTACTACATCGTTATAACATAGTATAGATGATTCTCTACTACATCGTTATAATATAGATGACTTCTCTACTACATCGTTATAACATAGTATAGATTATTCTCTACTACATCGTTATAACATAGTATAGATTATTCTCTACTACATCGTTATAACATAGTATAGATTATTCTCTACTACATCGTTATAACATAGTATATAGATTATTCTCTACTACATCGTTATAACACAGTATAGAGGATTCTCTACTACATCGTTATAACAGTATAAATTACTCTCTACTACATCATTATAACATAGTATAGATGACTCTCTGCTATATACCATCATAATATAATACATTTTTGTACAAAAACTGGAGCTAAACTAAACAGTTGCCCAGGTTGCCTGTTTCCTTACACATGACTGGTCCCTCTACTTTGTTCTAATTTGTCTAAATGAGCCCCTCACTCAGGCTTATTTCATAACTTAAAGAGCAATGCACAGTGCTTCAATGCAACCCATCAGAACCCCCGTAATGCTAATTTGACTGAAATTTGATTGGTTGTTATTTATTTTCCACATCATTTGTTATGCTATTTGTTAAAGTAGCCTGGCTTTTGGGGCATAGAGCACAGAACCTGCTGGGACTTGCAGTTTCCTAGCAGCTGGCATGCTGCGTTCTTCTCAACATGCCTACCATCCTCTAAACTAAAATTCCTCCAAAATATATCCAAAAGGACACTGAATAATGCTGATCCCCTCTGGGTCATGCTCTTTGTAAGCGCCTGATATTTTTCTGTACCATTTCATTTTGCACCTCCGCCTGTGTCCTGGGGGGACGCGGTGTCTGATTCCTCCCCAGAGGATGGCTGTCACTGTGACTGAGGCCACACAGATGCACACACACTGGCTCTCATTTATAAAAATTGCAGCTAATGGAAAATAATGGTGTCGCTCACGTCAGCCAATTACCTGTTTTCTGACATCCTCTTACCTGTGTTAAATACGGCTGGTAAAAAGTGACCGGCTGGTTAGGGGCAATACCTCCATTTATCTTTACAATAGTGTCCACCATGGATTCCTACTGTATGTTTTTCATTACCATTCATATGTTCCCTTTCATTGCAATAAATAGGCTCATTAGACCAGAAAATGAAGTATGATGGAGGCGGGTGACACTAATGAAGCATCATCTGTGTTTTTTAATCTCCTCCACTGATGCAGCACAATGTATTTATGTGATCTCATCTGGGTACATATCTGTTATTCTTCCACCATTACCCAACACTGCTGATGATACCTTTAGTATTCTGTACCTAGCCATTTTCATTTGGGGGTTCTGGGTTTCTCCCCCCTTCTGTGGGTGCTGCATATGCTGTCTGCTTTCCCATTGGCTGGAAATGATGTCATTGCTCCTAGAATCGGGTAATAAGCTGTTGGTGGAGGTGCAGGAATGGTGCCGTCACCACTGCTACACCCAGTCATTCATATATCGCTCTGTCTCTCGTCCTCTGTAACCCTTGCTGTGCCAGGACCGCAGCTTTACTCCTAGACATACAAGACCAATTCCACTGGAAATTTCACCGGTTCCATCTGAAAGCTCCAGTATATACAGCTCTACGCTATCACCTTCAGAGCCTAGCATCTTAACCTGCAGAACTTACAATCTATAGATTTTTGCTTCAGTGCTGGATGTGCAATGCTGGTGGGTTAGAATGGCTGCCTCTAAGGGAAAAAAATGTTTGGGGAGTGGGGGAGCACACCCACCACCCCTGATAAAATGTCTATATAACTTAATTATCCATTCCACTAATAACACCCCACAGACCAGAAGAATGCAAATCCCATCAGAAAAGAAGACAAAACACACATGTTTTAACTCTTTTCATGCTTCCCAAGAATGCCAGGGGTATAGAGTGACGTCATGGTGAGCTTCCTCTGATCCGGCAGTCTACCTTAAACCCAGAAAGTTCTCTACATACAGTATGACATGGGTGATATTGTTGCATGAATCCACAACGCTCTGTCTGGGTGATGTCATTTAACTCCGGTCGGTTACCAGTCTTATTCCCAATCTCTCCCCATAAGCTGCAAAAGAGTCATGCTTCCATGCAAAGCACGGTGAGCCTTTGCAACCAATCATGTATCACCTGTGTCTGTTTAAAGCATTCAGAACAATAAAAGCTTACATCGGATTGGTTGCTATGGCTTACCGCACTTTGCACATGGCTTCTTGGCTAATTCATGCCTACAAGTAACACATATGTTCACAAGCACTCTCAACAAACACCACCGGTACCAACTGATTAAATGAGCCACCAACCTGTCATATTATACACACAGGAAAACTACCTTTAACGCTAGGAGAAAATTACATTTTTTAAACTCTATTACCAATCAGGATAAAGTCCCCCATGATTAGATGTCATCTCGGCATATTCATAAAACAGATGGAAAACCATTGCCATATAACGTGCTGTAACTCATAGTAACCAGCTTTCTATTTACTCTAGCCTTAAAAATTAATTCTGATTGGCCGATATGGGCTACCGCACTTTGTAGATTGCTTGATTGCTCTAATTAAAGAAGCTCATAGGATTTTAATAGTGGATATGAAGCATGTCTGTCTGCACAGAGCTCCTTACCTGCACCTGCATGAAAGAGCCCCGGTAGAAGCAGCATGCAGCTGCTGATAGGGCACTCCACAAACTGCACCTTTCAGTCATTGTAAAAGCAGATCCTCCATCCAAATACACAGAGAAGCCGGGAACCTGCAGCCTTTCCCCGTCCAAGAGTGTCCCCCGGTCTGGTGGCTGTCAGCTGTCTGTGTGTAGCAGCCTGTACAGCTGATGCTCCCTACTGGTGCTGATGCTGCTGCTGGATTGCAGACTGATGGTTCATGCATTACCTCATCTCTTGTCAGTAGAGCATCATGGGAGGAGTCTGGTTCTCATAGAAATTCACCTCCCCCCCCCTCCCTCCTCCTACCATGCTCTTATCTCCCAATTCCCTTTCTGCCTCTCTGGGATCACACCTCCCCTTTTCCTGGGTTTTGGAAGGGAAGGAGGGCTGCTTAGTCTGTGAATGAATGAGATTCTACTGGGTGGGGGCAGGGCAGGAATCCGAGGTCATCAGGAGCGCCTAGAGATGCCACCCAGGTGACCTAATGCTAGCTATAGGCTTAAAACAGCGCTCTGCAGATTCATCGATGATTCCTCGCTCGTAGTTTTCTGCAAACAATCAAAGCATTAATATGACCGATTTTGCATGGAAAGTTATACGTTTGAGAAATACGCACACCAAATGATATTGATCTGCCACTTCCAGGTGCAAAAAGCCAGATCAGAACAATGATGACCAGATGATGAAGGTGCGGGTGTGTGTAGATAGGAAGAGGCTGAAGGAGATCAGGGCTAAAAATAGTGAAAATAGTAAAAATTGTATGAAAACATGGCCATGATTTATGGTACACCTTAGCATACTAAATATTGTCCAGCTCGGGTTTATGTCTCCTTGCATGGGCAAAGCACAAGTACACTTTAAAGCTGAACTCCAGGAAAATGAAAAGTCCTTGCTTGCTTGGTCTCCAAACTGCAGCCCAGGGGCAAGATGTGACCCTTTGCTTGCCTTTATCCGGTCATTGGGGCACTAATCCTTACGCTGATACGAGACACTATTCTGCCTACTGACACCAACAGTGGGCCACTATTCCTCCCAATGATACCAACGATGGGGCACTATTCCTCCCAATGATACCAACAATGGAGTACTATTCCTCCCAATGATACCAACGATGGGGCACTATTCCTCCCAACAATGATGGAGTACTATTCCTCCCAATGATACCAACGATGGGGCACTATTCCTCCCAATGATACCAATGATGGGGCACTATTCCTCCCAATGATACCAATGATGGGGCACTATTCCTCCCACTGATACCTGGGGCCTATTCCTGACTACACCAATGATGGGGCACTATTCCTCCCACTGATACCAATGATGGGGCACTATTCCTCCCAATGATACCAACGATGGGGCACTATTCCTCCCACTGATACCAATGATGGGGCACTATTCCTCCCACTGATACCAACGATGGGGCACTATTCCTCCCACTGACACCAATGATGGGGCACTATTCCTCCCACTGATACCAATGATGGGGCACTATTCCTCCCAATGATACCAACGATGGGGCACTATTCCTCCCACTGATACCAATGATGGGGCACTATTCCTCCCAATGATACCAATGATGGGGCACTATTCCTCCCAATGATACCAATGATGGGGCACTATTCCTCCCAATGATACCAACGATGGGGCACTATTCCTCCCAATGATACCAATAATGGAGTACTATTCCTCTCAATGATACCAACAATGGGGCACTATTCCTCTCAATGATACCAACAATGGAGCACTATTCCTCCCACTGATACCAACAATGGGGCACTAATCTTCCCACTGATATGAGACACTATTCAGCCTACTGACACCAACAGTGGGGCACTATTCCTCCCAATGATTCCACCCCAACAATGGGGCAGTATTCCTCCCACTGATACCAACAATGGAGCACTATTCCTCCCAATGATACCAACAATGGGCTGTGATTGGCTCTGTCTGTACCATCTGATCGCTAACAGCACAATTGCATACAATGGATGGCATGAAAGGAAGCTATCAATGGTATACAATTGTCACGTGATCTGCTGCGATTGGTCACATCGATCACAGGACATTGGCAGTGGGCTGGTGTTGTGATCTGTCATCAACTGTGTCCTGTGACAGATCGCGCCGCTGCGCGAGCAGCACCTTCTGACAGGATGTCATTCTCTGCTTTAAGGTAACTGTCTGTGCCTCCCCCACCTCTCCCTAAACGTTTATCTGTCATCTCTCTCGATCCAGCACTTTCCCAGCTGACAGCTCCACTCTCCTCTCTTCCTGCATTGTTGGCCTTTACTGAATGCAGCCATTGGCTCCTGTTGCTTGCTGTCAGTTAGATCCTGCGAAGAGGGAGTGGGGGTGGGGCCAAGCCATGATGTGCTTGTCTATAGACGCACACAGCCCAGCTTGGGAGCGCAACCACAGAAGTGCCCCCATAGCAAGCAGCTTGCTATGGGGGCACTCGGAGAAGAGGATCAGCAGATAGTGCCAGTGGCTAACCCCAGAAGAGGAGGTTCGGGGCCATTCCACAGAGCATGTAAGTATAACATGTTTTTTGTTTTAATTTAAAAAAAAAGTGTAGCTTTATAATCACTTAAACAGTAAGTTTGCTTACACAGAAGCAGTAGTGTCTTTCCTACCATTTTCAGGTAGCTGGGAGGCACAGGTGCAGCATCCAGCTCCACTACCAGCAGCCTGTTAAAATCGATGACAGGCTGAAATATGCAATGGCTGGACACAGCGGGACGCTGTACCAAGTGGTACTCGCATTTAGGGCAGTATGTGCTCAGGGACGCATGCCCAAATGTAGGAATTCTTGGTTTTGGGCACCTATGCCTCCCAGGGCAAAGAAAACATTGGGATTCAACACTGATAGGCCAAACCGCCCATGTGCATGAGATCTAGGATAGATGGAGCCCCCAAATACAAACAGTCTGTATACAATTATAATAGTTTTCTTCCTCATTATAATTTGGTGATCCTTTGCAATCATAAAAAGCCCTCGGCTTTTTAGGACATTGGACTGTAGCTTGCCACCATACCCAGCAGATTTGAAGGACAGATGATCTGGCAAGGATAACACTATGGACAAGTGTGTCCCTCTTGGCACTCAATTGTTTGACAGAAGCTTCCTTGTTTGAAGCTGCAGACAGACAAGCCGCCAGAATGTGGCTTTTGAAAGCAGCATGTTTTATCCTGAAAGGGTTTTCTAGCTACAGATCACTTGAAATACCCCGATTGTACTGCAGTTACTAAATGAATTCAATTTCTTACTTTCAGCTAGATTCTGTATCTGCACCAAATCATGTTCAGGTAACATACTGTAATCACTGATAGATTAATTTAAAGGCAGTGGTGGGGCAAAAACTACTACGTTAATCTTGCCAAGAGCCTCTAAGAGATATAAGAAGCTAATTGGGAAGTCAATTCAACCAGGATCTAAAACAACAGTTCTTGCTGCTTTTGGCCTTTAACCTTTTCACTGTCAGATCCAGCTTTTCACAAATGTTAAAATGCATATTTTAGGTGAAGGTTAGTTCAAACCCCAACACATTATATATTCCTCTGATAGCAGAGACCCTGGATATTAAAATGTTGCTAGTTCCAATTTTTTATGTCACATTTATCAAACCCATATTATATTTTCAGTAAAAATACACTAAAGTTAATTTTGGTGCACACAAACACAGTATAGTATTTTTGGTAAAATATAAAAGGTGAGGTTGTGCCGAGTAAATAGATACCAAACATGTCAAGCCTTAAAGTTGCACACATCTGTGAAAACAACAAAAATATAGTACACAAATCTTTCCATAGACAATACTTTAACGGCTTGCCATCCGCCCTATTTTACAATTCTCACTAAAAAGTATGTATTGTGTTTTTGCAAGTATGTTCTTCTTAACTTACGTTTGGGAGTAACAATTTACCGTAACTTGTTCATTTTTTTATTTTTCTTTAGCCAGATAAATATTTATATGGAATATTTCATATTTACCACATCCAGCCAGCAGGTGGTGCAACCAAGCCTGTTTCTACAACATTTTTGTCATTAAAGAGGATCTTCACCTTAGAAAGAAATAATTAAAAGTAAGCAGCTACAAATACTGTGACTGCTGACTTTTAATAAAAGGACATTTATCTGTTCAGGGATCCAGCACTGTCCTCACCTAGGTTGGTTCTTTACTGGTCCTCAGTCCCCAGTGCCAGCATGTTTACTGTGGGAAGCTGGCTGTGTCTTCTCATAGACTTCTGGTAATTTTGATGTGTGAATGGCCCCCCAGCCTTCTGGTATCTGTGATGTGTGAATGGTCCCCCAGCCTTCTGGTATCTGTGATGTGTCAATGGTCCCCCAGCCTTCTGGTATCTGTGATGTGTGAATGGCCCCCCAGCCTTCTGGTATCTGTTACGTGTCAATGGTCCCCCAGCCTTCTGGTATCTGTGATGTGTCAATTGCCCCCCAGCCTTCTGCTATTTGTGACATGTCAATGGTCCCCCAGCCTTCTGGTATCTGTGATGTGTGAATGGCCCCCCAGCCTTCTGCTATCTGTGACATGTCAATGTCCCCCAGCCTTCTGGTATCTGTGATGTGTGAATGACCCCCCAGCCTTCTGGTATCTGTGACGTGTCAATGGTCCCCCAGCCTTCTGGTATCTGTGACGTGTCCATGGTCCCTCAGCCTTCTGGTATCTGTGACATGTGAATGATCCCTCAGCCTTCTGGTAGCTGTGACGTGTGAGTGGTCCCCAAGACTTCTGGTATCTGTGACGTGTGAATGGTCCCCCAGACTTCTGGTATCTGTGACGTGTAAATGGTCCTCCAGCCTTCTGGTATGTGTGACGTGTGAATGGTCCCCCAGTCTTCTGGTATCTATGAAATGTGAATTGTCCCCCAGCCTTCTGGTATCTCTGACGTGTGAATGGTCCCCCAGCCTTCTGGTGTCTGTGACGTGTAAATGGTCCCCCAGCCTTCTGGTATCTGTGACGTGTGAATGGTCCCCCAGCCTTCTGGTATCCGTGACGTGTGAATGGTCCCCCAGCCTTCTGGTATCTGT